TTTTATTCCAATTCAGTAATTTCTTGTTTTATTATTTGAAAAATATTTTTGAATATGTGATTGGAAAAAAAATTAAAAGTGGATATGATCAAGACTTTGTTCACGATCAAGCAAATGAAACAACTAAAATAAAATGGATTGGATATGAAAATCGAGATAAATATAATAAGGACCTCAATCATAGCAAGAAAAGACCAGTATTGATTGAAGATGATGGAATTTATTCAATTGCTAATAATTATGCATTTAAATTTGAAAAAAAAATATTGGAAAGAAGAATATTTTGTTAATTACTGATGCAAGCCATCCTTTTATTTGTGATTATGGCTCTAATGGCTTTAAACTTCATGTTTTGTTTTATGATTTTAAAAATCCTTTTGATTACTTTTTAAATGACGTTATGGATAAGTTAGTTAATGGTAAATTAGTCAATGGTAAATTAGTTATAGATAAACCAGTTAATGGTAAATTAGTTAATAGTAAATTAGTTAATAATAGTAAATTAGTTAATAATAGTAAATTGGCTAATAATAAATAGTTTTATTAGCGCTTTATTTCCATATTTGATTGTAATGCGGCATATTTATTCTTTGTATTACAATCGTGCAAAGATCATAAAAGGAAATTTTTACTCCTGCTGTTTTTTCTAATTACGTATTAATATAATATCAATATCAATATCAATATTTCAATTTCATATGATAGGAAAAAAAAAAAAGTGTTACCATTTGTGAAGTTATTATCAATTTATAGTACAAAACACTTATTTTTTTGATTATTATGAGGTGTTTTCTATTTTTTTTTTCTAATGATTTGTCGACTTTTTTTTTTTGTCGGATTTTTACCGGTTTAATGAATAGATAGATAATCATTGATCGTCAATGTTCGTAGCGAAAGATCCTAAATTTTTTTTTTTTTTTACAATTCGCCAAGGTTATTTCTTGTGGCTAGGATTCTTGAAAAAGTTGTTGCAAATATTTGTATCCTGTGTATGTAGTTTTATTTATTGTTCTTTAGCAAAGGATTTGTTGATATTAAATTCCGATTTAATTTGTGACCATAAAATGTGACCAAATCTAAGCAAACATGTTATTTGTATTATACAAAGAAGCTGATTTGTATTTTATGAATCCTGTTCTACAAGCCTCGTTTTTTGTTACACAAACAAACAATTTAAGCATGAGACAAATCTTATAGTAGTGCTTAGATCCGATTATTTGTTTATCCGAATGTAAGTAGATAAAACACTTAATTCGAATAATTTATCTGATCGATAAATCGATAACTGTTAATCC